GATCAAAAATGAGGAGCACGAGAAGATAACGATTGTTTAAGAGCACTTGTCTGAGATCTGAGACTGACCACCTCCTTTTCCAACTCACGATTCTTCCGGCGAAAGTTATTGTTCTCCTCAAGGAGCTCCTTGTTCTTCGCGAGAACACTGCCAATCTGATCCTTCATTTCCAACATACACCCCATTGTGCTGCCTTAAGGTGGGACGCAGCGAAGGGTCACTAATGATTAGATCAATTGCTCTGCCAAAGATCCATGTCGGAGGAAGGGCTCGACAAGTCCATCCTGTGCTTCTTTCCGCGACGTCCTTGAACAGGAGCAGGCACCGCAGGCGTATCCATGACACTAAGTAAACACAATAAACCTAGAATCACCTGAGACGGTGGCTTGATATCAGAGGAGTATCCCTAGCCACAAGTGAATGCGCAGCTCGGGGGCCGTTGACCAAAATCAAATTAATCGATGACCCGTAATGGATGGTGCCGACAAGAATTCCAGAGTGAAGTAAATAGGCTACAGCAGTTAAAAGCGATCCGGAATGAATAGCTCGAGAATATATATCAATAAGCAGTGCCGACAGTCCTCAAAGCAGGAAAAAAACAGCGGAATACAGAACACGAGCAGTTAATACTATTTCCAGCGGAGCTCAAGAGGAGCCGACCGCTCGCGCCGACGCACCGCAAGGACTTCTGACCACTCAAAGAATTCTTATGGCCGGCCCCACCCACCTCGAAGCACGCTCCGCCCACAGCGGGTATGCCTCACATTTGTGAACCGGTGACCCCTCTGTGATCTCCAACTACTTTTTTCCCGGTGTCTGGAGTGCTCTGGAAGCGCCGAATTTTTTTAAAATTTAGTTCTGCCTACCTCGCCGCATGCTCCGCCCACAGCGGGTGTGTCTCGCATTTGTGAACCGATGACCCCCCGCTGATCTCAAACTACTTTTTCCCGGTGTCTGGAGTGCTCTGGAACCGTTTTGCGAATTTTTCAAACTTGGCTCCACCCACCTCGGGGCACGCTCCGCCCACAACGGGAGTGCCTCGCACATTCCGACATGTGATCACTTGGGGACCATAATCCACTTTTTTGCGCCGTCTGTAGTGCTTTAGGACCAAACTACGATTTTTTTAAACTGGTACCTCGTGTTCAAATGCACGCCCCGCCCACTGTGGGCGGGCCTCAGCACGCCGCAAACATGGTGGACTCTTGCCAGATGTTCATCTTCGTCATGGACTTTTCTGCAATCTCTGATCTATTTCGGGAACCGAGTTACCGACCTTTAAGGGAAGAAGCACCGCCCATCTCAAGTGCGCTCCGCCCATTTCGGAGCTCATGTGTCACTCCATGATTGCTCTGACAACCCAACGCTAACGTATCCGCGATTTTATTTTCCCGTCTGCCGGGCGCATTTATAGCGCGAAGTGAGTACGCTTTTTTCAGTGACACGGGAAGCGCCGCCCATCCCAAGTACGCTCCGCCCATTTCGAGTATGTCTCCTCCATTTGCTCTGCCCAACCCAATGCTAACCTTATCCCATTTTTTCCCGTCTCCGGGCTGCTTTGTGTAACAATTGTAGCTTTTTTTATAGGTTGAGCACGGGAAGCGCCCATCTCAAGTACGCTCCGCCCATCTCGGGTATGTCTCCTCCATTTAGTCGGACAGCCCTTTGTTGGCATTACTGCTCTGTTCCCTCATCTGTGGACTGTCTGCCAACCCGAGTATGAATTTTTTTACTTGACATCCGCTAACTTTCGGCGCATACCCCGCCCACTGCTGTGGGCGGGGCTCACCATGGGTCATGGGTGCTACATTAGGTTTTGTCCCATGCTCTACCCATCCCCACCATGACCCGACCTCTCCAAGTTCTTCTTCAGGTGCTATGAATTTCGTGACAGACAGACAGACAGACAGACACACACACGGACATAGCCGATTATATATAGTAGGATAGTGACTGCATCTTCTGCGCGCATATTCTTGCACATGTAGAGATATTTAGGAGTACTCTTACGAAAACTGGACTTCAATACGATCGTACGTTTATGATCGAATGCTGCGGAGTACCGTTGACACAAAAACGGCACCAGAAAATGTGCAAAATCACTACAAAGGTGGTTTCTTTAATTCCTTGCAATAAGATCTATTCGTTGAAACCAATCTGTGACTATATGTTGCTAAGTGTTTTCTTTGATTGTTTTTTAAACCCTGTTTTTCCATTATCAGCTGGATGATTTTGACATGACATTATCGCTTTCGAGTATCGACGACGAGACAGCATACGTGAAGGTACCATTGCTCGAAGTTAGTGAAACTGCCAGGAAAAACGGCATTGTTTGTGTGAAAAGGTAACTTCTTGCACGGTTCGTCTTATTGTAAATTCTGGTTTAAGGGGGGAGGGGTTGAACTGTAACGATGATGACTGTCAGAAGAATTTCAGTGTTCAGACAACTGAATGTTCGACGACCGCATCCTCGTGGGTGACATCATTCTTAGGATTACCAAATTGTAAACTTCAACGCCTTCAAGAAGGTTCCGGTTCTCTCTAGCGAAATAATAAGCTTACCATTGTAGAATAATAGTGACACTTTTAGATTCACATCGAAGTCTGTCAAATGATGCTCCATACCTTCTCGTGAACGAGGCTTCGATCAGTGTTCTGGCTGGTTTTGTAGGTGACTGACTTTCAGACTGACACCAGGATAGTGCAATCATGAAACTGGTCTCCTCTATCTAGGGCTATCTCTTTCGGAGGCGATATCTCGATTTCGTCCAAATATAGTTGTGAAAGGAATACCACCATTCCTCGAGGACACTGCAAACTGCGTGAAGATCGAGGATTATCGTTTTGAGGTACTACTCTTCATGTTTACAATGTTGTTGTCCTAACTCCTGATCCGTAAGAATCGCCACTGCCGCAATTTCTGCTTCACCGTTGTTCATACTCGAAAAGGCTGCCGACCTTGGCTATTAGTGCGCCAAGGTACATTTTATATCCTGAAGATGGGAATGGATGCGTACTTTATCTGGACATGGCTTTGGATGCGCTTTTCATCAAATAAACCCATTTGAGACTGTTGTTTTTCTGTCGAGAGACAAGACATTTATCAGTGACCCCAGAAAGGCAATATCCCACTAGAGGCGCAGCTATCACCTTGTTGAGTAGGTGTACGGGCTCACCATCTATGGCATATGGGTTCTAATAGCATGGTTGTGGCCTTCAAGCAAAATATGTATTCGGATACAAATAACTTTTTTACTGTGTATTCCTGAAGGTATGGTACGCGGAAACTATAGCTAGAAGCTCCTGAATGTACAGGGGTGGCCAAAAAAAAGTCACTTCGACCGAGTCACACATATCAGCCAAAGTTTTTTTTTCGCAGGCGCCCCCAGAGAAAAGACGTGGGATAACGAAAAGTGACCGAAGGGCGAAAGATACCCCAAAGGCAATGTTCCCACTCCGATAAACCCAGGACTTTGGCCCCCCTCGCCCCCCCCCACCTTCAAATGGTACAACCAAAATATGAAGTCCCATTCTCCCACTCCGCAGCCTGACCCTGGAGAAGACCTTTGGGAAATTCAATGTTCACCTCCAAACAGCAAAAGAAACAGAATTAATTACTTTAATGTTGTGTCCCAGAAGAAAAAGCTGGCCCTCAAATCCCTTAGAATATCAACCCTTCTATTTATAGGTTTTATCAAAAAAGTGCAGCGATGCGAGATGATCTGTATAAGATCAGGAATACGGCTGGTTTGAAAACAGGAAATCCCCCACAAGACTCGTTGCGTTGAGGAATTTTTTCGACAAAACGGAGATAAGGTACGGTGGGACTAATTCCTGCCACCATATTCCCGCGTTTTCCCTTCACTGACACCAATTCCAAGGAACTGGGGCCTTATTTTCTTGTTATTATCCTTCGTTAGGCTACCCAACTCATCTTTTCATCAACCTTTCTTCCACCTACTAAAATTTTTTCTGACACAATTTCTGTCCATTCATGCCTAAAACCTTTCACCTCCCTTTTATCTCCATTTAAGGACTACTGCGCCTCTTCGATCTCCTTCTGCAAGCGCGTTATGTAAAAAATCGCCCCATTAAAGGGCCAGCGTTCAATAGTTCGCGGAACAGCAAGTGGGCGGATTCGCCCAGTAAGGAGGACCGAAGCCTCGTCCCAACCACAAAGTAAGATGGACCGGTAAATTGAAAAAAACTTGGTTTGCGGAAAAAGCGTTATGGTTTGTTTTTTTTTTCTTCCCGCCTAATCCCCTCTTTCGTCGTACCTCACCTCCTAAAATTCCCCCCCCCCTACCCCTCTCCGACCCTCCGCCCCTTGAACTGCCCGCCCCTCCACTCTTGGTTCCGCCCTCTCCTGAAGTCCCCGCCCCCAAGTTAACTTCCAATCCCCCTCCCTTCATACCCTTTCCACCTCCCGATTTTCCAGGGAATTCCCTCCCGCCGACTCAAGTGGCAGTGTTGTCATTAGGTCCCGCCCCTAGGGCACCCACGTTTAACCTCAAGTGTGATCCCAGGTTAGCCTCACGCCGGCCATGCCCTCTTCCCTGCTCAAAGCCCGCCCCCTCCGAACATCCCCGCCACACTTCCCTCCCCAACATTTTTCAACTTTTGTCTTTCAAGGCCTTCCCACGGGCTCCCAAACGGTCCGCTCAAACCCAGTACCCAGGCAAAGTGTGTAATTTTTGAAGTTCCGCGCTTGGAGCCATACTTTAACAGTCCTTCACTGGTGTGCGCCGCCCCCTCGAAACTACTGTCCCACTATCCTCGGGGCCCCAATTCCCCGTACCAGTCCAAGCTGAGGTTTGTTGGTCCCATTAGGTTCCCGCTCCTAAGGCACTACCGATCCCTTAGTTGTGTCCATTAGGTTCCAGCCCCCGACGCCCTTCCCATATATCCCCCTTCCAGGCTCCGCCCCTGACCTTTCTGCCACTTCCATGAAAAAATTCAACAGTTTGTACTCATCAGACTTTTGGCCATTTTTCCACCCCTCCCAAAACTCGCCCCCAAAACATTCCAACTGCCCCACGGGGAAGTCAGAACAAAATATTGAAACTATGGTTGAAATTTTTAAAAACCGGGCTGAATATTCGATCCTAAAAGCCCCTAATTTATTTAAGTGCACCTCCACTTAAGAAACCCCCCCCTCACTCGGAGAGTAAACTAAGTGGGCGGGGAAGAAAGAAAAACCACCATGAAAAATACCCCTTCCAACAAGGTTTTTCCAAATCCCGTCCCATCCTTGGGGCGGAACTGGTTCCTCCTACTTGGCGGGATCGCGGCCGATCGCTGCCTTGCTGAAGTCCCGCCGAACTAATGCCACCGCCTGCCTTAGGCCTGCCGTTTTAATCCTCCATGCGGCAAGCGTAGCGGGTAGCCGCTTTCCAAGCGTTTCAACTAGCGGGTTTTTTTTACAGCGTATGCAGGCGGCGGGGCTAGAAGAGTGAATACAAGAGTAGGAGGAGTTACAAAGAATACTTCTTTCTAAACGCTTATTATGGGTATAGAAAAAGTAGGAGAGTATAAAAAATGCTCCCCCCTCCTATCGCCTAGAAAGAGTATCGAGAAGTAAGGGGATAAACATTCTTGTACCCCTCGCCTACTTCCTTCATTACAACTCTCTAGCCCTTCCCGCCTGCAAGCGCCTAATCGACAACCACTAATGGAACACCGCTGGTAAGCGCGCAGAAACCCGATACCTGTCCTTTTCCCCGACACCTGCCCGCCTTGGGCGTACGCCTGGAAGCGGTCCCCTCGCTAACGCTTTGGCCGCCAGTTATAAAACGCAGCCCTTAATGAATCGAATCACTCTGGACCGATCAAAGCCAAGAAAAAAGCCGGGGCGGGCTTTATTCCCGCCCCTCTGGTATCGCTCCGAACCTGACCTGAAACTTTTATCAAACTGTAACAAGTTCTCAGAAGTTATCCGAAACTAGGAACTACCAAATTAAATCTTCTCGAAATGTTTTTTCCCAACCTGGAAACTTTTGTCCCCCATGGAAGGTCATTCCACAGCCCCCGTGAAATTCACGAAGTACGACCTTACCGTTTTTTCTGCTTCGTTCTGACGCTCTCTGACCCTGAAAAGTGCCAGTCTGGCCTACCTTCTTCTTCACAAAGTTCGGTACAAACTTGCATACAATATTTATTTGACGTCGTGATTTCACCAGTGTAGCATTCTATGTTCGCACTGACGGAAAATTGCATCAATTTAAGGTAGTCATTTTCACCAATGTCGATGTAAACTTGTATCTTGGGTTATTTCTTGTTCCGATTTCGAACATGGTACTGATTTTTGGCGCATTTTTCATTTTTTCATTTTTAACTATCGGAAATAATAGTTCTATAGATCTTTGGCAGTGCCTCTCCCAACAACGACCAGACCCCTCCCTCGCTGTCAAATACGACCCCCCGTTGTGATCATCACAACGACGGCGTACCCTGATCGCACGACAATGACAACCAACGATTTCTTCTGACCCTCCTGTCCGACGCTATGCTGCAATCCCTTGTATAATTGGGCTATATGAATGCGATTTCGAATAGTAGAAGCTACAAAAAAATTTGATTCCCACTATCTTACTCGAAGTTCGACTGATTTCTAACTCAGTGTTTTCTCGCCGACAGATTGATTACCAGCTGGGCGAACAAAGCCGTGGAACCCTTATTGTTAGTTGCTCCAGAACACTTTTGCGACTCCGCACGATGGAATCTTGAGGAAATCTGCTTCGCTTGCTCCCTTTTTACTAGTGGTTCATTACAACCATTCACGGTTTAGACTTGTTTTTGTGTTTGTAAATGTTAAAGACACGCTGTACGATTAGCTGCGAGATAGGCCTTTTTCATGTGAGGAAAGATCTCTCATTGTAGAAAAATCAACTTCATCAGTAGAAAGTGCACGGAAATGAAGCTTTAGGGTTATTGTAGTTTTCTTCATGTCTTCGCTCACTATCCGAATGCTCATGCCACAGTTTCGGGCGCGTTGCCAACACGTTCATTGAAGCAACTGGACGAACAAGGTCCCAAGCGAATGTGTTACTAGCGCACGTCCTGCCGACGGGGCAACTTTTGCAAAATACAACCCCTCTTAGGAATTCCTCTTCTGGCAGATCCTCGTTCCCCATGCCCCAACATCTTTCTAAGTTTTCCCAACTTCCTACTTTTCCGGAATTTTTTTTCAGAAGAAATAATTCTGCCAAAAAACTGCCGTCGAGCGAGGAGGGAGGAAGAGGGTGTATACAGCTCACCTGAAACAGCATGAACCCCAGAAAAGTCAGCAATCGAAAACATTTTCTTTGAAGGCGACCCTCCTCGCTGGTAAGTGATCTCCAATGCCCTGCTTATCATGCTGCTTAAGCTGTTGAGGAAAAAGTCGCCCCAACGAAAAACAGAGGGCGCAGACAAGTAGCGTGGGGCTGTGAATCGCGGGTTGACCGGCCAGCGTGTTGTGTGTCTGCACAATGTGTATCGAGGCGAAGAATAAGGTATACCCATCCACTACAATCTCCGCCTTCACTTCCTTACATTTTTAAGAAAATGACAATCCTCTACAGCTACGAATCACTCTTCCTCGCGTATGGCCGTATAGTGTCTTCAGATAATGGTATATGAATAATGTACGGATCTTTTAAGATGACGTTTGGTATCTACCTGAAGCAAATCGGCGAAGAACAAGGAGAAATCCGACAGAACTCCATAGTTCATTTCGAATAAAATATTGAACTCATTCTCACTGTAACAAGTTTACTAGTCTCCGTCTGTTCCAGACATAAATCGATTCAAAAAAAAACAATGCAGAGTCTTTACAATAACAAGGAAACAAAGAAACAAGACTAACATGTAAGGCGTGTCCGAAAGCCTATCCTGACTGAATATC